TACCCTTTCCCAGAACAGTTTTGCAGTAAGCTAACAGACATCTTTAATCACTAAGTAGTCTTCAAATTTTAAATTTATGTTCATGACAAAGGAAACAGAATGTAGAACTTTCCTAAAGAATTAGGTAAATTGTATTTTATTTACATACTAAACTTTGATATTGCTGTTTATGTTGTGTTTCTAAGATTTGTTATATTATTAAATGAAAATGGAAATGATAATTTTAACACACTAAAAATTCGAGACAACTATTTATAGATTTATCCTTTATCCTTTCTCTACTGAATTCTCCTCTTTCTTTGTTCACCTTCTTCCACTCTTACAGCAATTTAGCCATAAGGGTAGGAAAATGAAAACCTCAGAGAATAAAAATTTCACTTGAATATTGCCATGGAATCACCAAGTCATCACCACATAAGACTTGCTTCAACTTACCCACGTTTGATGTTGTGTAACTCCTTGTCCTTGCCTTTATCCTTCTCCTTTTCTCTTTTCTCCTTCTCTCTTCCTTTACGTCGTTCTCTATCCCGAGACCGACTACGGGTTCTTCTGTGACTGGACCTTTCACTGCTTCGACTATGAGAACGTGGACGAGGTCTTGACCTGGACCTACAGTAAGCAGATTTTATTAAATAAATTTAGTGTATATTTTGTATTATGAAATGTAAACACCCTTGAAAATTATTTGAAAAAGCTAATTAGTTTTAGTTATGAACTTAGAATTTAAATAACTGTGTGAAGCAAGCATCTGAATGATTCTTTATGAATAAGTACTCTCAGTTGAAATGATATAGGAGGCAAATATATGTTGCCAACTTTGCAGGAAATTAAGGTGCAATAAACAAGTGTTTGCAAGTGAAAGTCTTAAAGTTTCAAATCAAGTCTCAATAATTCATGTCTGCTCAGATAATGTAACAGATCAAATGTATGTAATCTAGTCCACAAGGATAGGCTTTCCCTAGCCCTACAATCTCTGTTTCCTTATCTATTCAACCTATTTCTAATTGTTCCAATGTAACTATTCATCCACTCGAATCCAGCCATTCTTTGTTTAAAATGACAGTATTAGGTAGAATACATTATGTGCTAAGAAGTAGTGATTTCAGGTCCTGGTTATAGTAATGACAAGAAAGCCTCTATCAGATTGACAATTCTACAGACAACTATAAAACAAAAACAACTACAGTTGACCCTTCAATAAGGTTTGAATTGCATGGGTCCACTTACATGCAGATTTTCTTCTGCCTCTGCCACCCCTGACTAGGCAAGACCAACCTCTCCTCTGCTTCTTCCTCCTCAGCCTACTCAATGTGAAGACAATGATGATGAAGACCTCTATGATGATCTACTTCCACTCAATGAATAGTAAATATATTTTCTCTTCCTTATGATTTTCTTAATAACACTTTCTTTTCTCTAGCTGACTTTATTGTAAGAATACAATATATAATACATATAGCATACGAAATATGTGTTGATCAAATATTTATGTTACTGGCAAGCCTTCCAGTCAATAGAAGGCTATTAGTAGTTAAGTTTTGGGGGAGTCAAAGTTATACATGGATTTTCGACTGCATGGGAATTTGATATCCCTAACCTCCGAGTTGTTCAAGGGTAGACTATATATGAAGGCACTGGAGAGTGACCAAAAACAGGCAGATTCTGCAGGGGGCCAACACTTGTAAAAAGGAAACAACAATGAGAAAGTTGCCCACTTTATCAACCTCTATTCTGTAGCAAGCTGAAGTCTGTGCCATGTAGAACAGATACAACTCCAACAGAAAATCTGCAGGCTTTCTGTCCCCCAGAAAACAGAAGACAGACTCAGGACAACTAAAGCAACAGGTAAATGAAAGAGTAATCCTGTAAAAAAGTAAAAGGAGGGACCCAAAAATTCTATATGTAAACTCCATTCAAATCTCTGGTTGAACCCTAAATCAGCACATGAAGGACAGAAAACAGCTAAGAATAAAAGCATTGAACCAAAATTTTAGCTTCCCTCATAGAAACAGAATTTTTATAATTATAAACCAACCAAGCTATTTTCCTGCCAAACAAAAAGATAAGCAAAATGTCAATATTATTAAGAGGAATATAATAGAGTATTCACAATATGATATTCACTATGTCCACAATAAAATCCAAAATTACTAGATATACAAAGAAACAGGAAAAATGTGCTCAATCCTGAAGAGAAAATATAATACATAGAGACCAACCCTAAGATGAGCCAAATGTTAGAATTCACAAATAAGGATTTAAAGTAATAACTATGCTTGTAATGAATATAAAGCTAGGCAATCTTAGCTTAAAAATTAGAAAATGAAAAAATACAAAATATATAACTAAAAAATACAATCTCTGAAATGGGATTAAAAGTAGATTGGTGAGAACAGAGGAAAGAATCTGTGTACCTGAAAATAAATCAATCAAAATTATCAAATCTGAATAACTAAGGGGGAAAAAGACTGTTAATAAGAAAAGAAAGGCAGATCCTTGAGAATACATGTGACAAGATTCAAATGTCTAACATGTTTATTTAAACCCAGAAGTGGAAAAGATAGAGAATGAGACAGAAAACATTTAAGTGGTGGGAAAAATTTTCTAAATTTAGTGAAAGACATATTTACAGATTCTAGAAGTTCAACAAATCCCAAGTAAGATACATATGAAGCAGCCCATGATTAGGAACACAACCGGCCAAACTAATAAAAACTAAAGGTAAAGAGAAATCTTGAAAGTATTCAGAGAAAAACACTTTACATACAGAAGAGCAATGATACCAATCATCACTGCTGGTTTCTCATCAGAAATAATGAAGATCAGAAGACAGTGAAAAAAAATTCTTAACATGATGACAGAAAAAAAAAAGTCCACCTAGAATTGTATACTCAGCAAAAATACCCCTCAAGAATGAAAGTAAAATAAGGACATTTTTGAGATAAAGGGAAAGTAAAAAATTATCATCAATGGCAAAATTGTATTACAACGAATACCAAAGAAAGTTCAAGAGAAATAATAACAGATGGAAAACTTGGATCTTTAGGAAGGAATTAAGACTACTAGAAAGAGTAAATACAGGGGTAAATATCAATAATTATTTATTTCCCTTAATTTATTTAAAATACACATAGTGCTTATAGTAAAAATTATAATGTTTTACTGTAGGGATTATAATGAAGGTAGATGTAATACATATCTCAGGGTGGGGAACCTGCAGCTTTGGGGCCACATGTGGCCTTCTGGATCCTTGAATGCGGCCTTTTCAATGAATCCAAATTTTACAGAACAAATCCTTTCAATAAAAGGATTTGTCCTGTGAAATTTGGATACATTTAAGGGGCCACATTTGAGGATCTGGAGGGCTACATGGGTCCTTGAGGCCGCAGGTTCCCCACTCCTGCACTGAGGCGAGCGGGAGAGCAGCTACCTAAACAAAACAAAGAAGGAAAGAAGTATAGCTAAAAAGCCAAAAGATCAGTTAAAAAGAAATTCTTAAAAATACTCATTAATCCAAAAGGAAGCTGGAAAGGCAGTACGAAGGAACAAAAAACAGAGTGGACAAATATAAAATGTGATTGGACCTACATCTAATTATAACTATAAATATAGTAAATGTTAATAAACTAAATACTTAAAAGACAGAGCTTATGAAATGAATTAAAAAGCAACACACAACTATATGCTATTTATAAAATATGTACTTTAAATATACAGACAGGTTGAAAGTAAATGGCTAAAAAATACACGCATCATGCAAACAGTAAACATACGAAGGCTGAAGTAAATATATTAATATCAGATAAACCAGACTTCAGAAACTAAGTGTATCACTAAAATAAAAATGGATACTTCATAATGATCAAAGGGTCAGTTCATAAGTAGAAATCATATAGAAAATGTATGTCTCACACAACAGAATTAAAGTGGAATTTAACAATAAGACATCTAGAAAAAACTTAGATATATAGAAATTAAATAATATCCTTTTCAATAGTTCACAGGTCAAGTAAGAAATCACAAGAGGGCCAGGCACAGTGGCTAATGCCTGTATCCCAGCACTTTGGGAGGCTGAGGTAGAGGGATTGCTTGAGGCCAGGTGTTCAAGACCAGCCTGGGAAACATAGTGAGACTCCATCTTCATAAAATAAAAAATAAAAAAATTAGCTGGGCCTGGTGGCACATGTCTGTAGTCCCAGCTATTTGGGAGGCTCAGACAGGAGGACTGCCTCAGCCCAGGAGTTCAAGGATATTTTGAACTGAATGAAAATGAAAAAACAACATATGATAATTTGTGGGATGCAACTAAAGCAATATTAAAAGGAAAATCTATAGTTTTAAATGTTTACATTAGAAAAGAAGAAAGATCTAAAATCAATTACCTGAGGTTTCATGTTAAGAAGCTACAAAAAGAAGAGCGAAGTACTATAAACCCAAAGTAGATGGAAGGAAAGAAACATTAAAGAAAAGAGCAAAGATCAATGGAATACAAAACAACAGAGAAAATTAACAAAGCCAAAATCGGGTACTCTGAGAATATCAATAAAATTGATAAATCTCTAGGTAGATTGATCAAACAAAAATAAAAGAGGAAATACAAATTACCAAAGAATAAACACTGTGGATGATGAAGAGATCACATGAACTAGTCCTGGGTAACCAGGATGTATGTGGGGCTTGAAGAGAATTACATAGCTTTCAGCAGCAGTAATGTTTGTCCTCTTCCATCTCTAATCGGTTCACTCAGTAAATAAAAAAGAATATTGGATCACAAACCCACAAACTTTTTTAAATGTGATTTTGAGAAGTTATAATTATTTATTGCTACTAATGTAACATGGCTTTAATTATTTTATTGTCCTAACTTACAAATATAAAATTTCTACCATTTTCTCTGGAAGTTTCTCTATTCCTAATTTTGACACAACTATTTTTCCATATCAAAGTTTTATCATCACAACTTACTACCCCCACAGATGTTATCCTATTCCTTTCTGATTAAATTTTCTATTACATGTGGATATATGGAAACTTTACCAGATTATTACTAAAATCTACAAAATTTTAAAGTTTTCTGTTTAAAAGAAAGCAATAATAAAAATGGAGGACAGCCTTTCTCGTGATAACCTCAGACACTATACATACATACATATATATATATATTTTATATATATATACATGAAACGTGTATATAGACACACAAGGTATTATCTTAATTTGGTTCTATAGTGCTTAGGATCAAAATATGATTCAAGCAATTAGCTGTAAAAATTGTAGCTGTAAAAATTGTAGAGTAACAAAAGGCAGGTGAGTTAGTTTAACAAAACTCTAAGATCTTCTTTTTTAAATAAATCTCCAATATAAGCTAATGTAGTTGTTTGCCTCTTTTTTAAAAGAAATATATAGTGTTGGACAAAATATACAACCATTTGTGGATTACAGATGAGGTGGCTTTTGGTGAAATTACGTTTTTACTGTACTCTTAGAACTAAATGTTATCTGTTACTAATATACCTCAAATTATGTAAGTATTAAGTTAAAAAATGAAGAGTTCCTCAAATAATAGTATCCTTGAATAAGTTATTTCCTCTCTGAGCATCTGTTTCCTT